TGGCCAGACAATCCAGTGTTTGACGCAATGGGCATCAAACCACCCAATTGGGATACGATGACAAACATCAAGCAAGTGAGCGAGTCTGACACCTGATACCGTCGCCAAACATGACAAGCATGACTTCTTAATGAAGTTCGGGCGGTACGGTTCCCTAGTGGTTAAAGCATTCGCTCATGACACCGAAGACCCTGGTTCGATTCCCCATGTGGGTACAATACGTGAAGCCCATTTCTGGTGTCCCCCGCCGTGATATCGCTGAAATATTGCTAAAAGCGGCGTAAAACTAAACTCACTCACTCACTCTTAATGAAGTGGTGTGAACGTGGATAGCTACTGGTACAGCAGGATATGATTGGATTGATCTTCGGTGAAACAGTCATAATCTTATAAGCTCCAGCTCTTCACTGTCTTGTACGTTCTGTGGACTAATACAGGGACGTTTTGAATTATGCATGTTTTAGAAACACATGAACGAAAAGTGTGTTTTGAGCATAACTGTTTCATGTTTCACAAATGGTGAATATTGCGAAATTGTTTTGACATGGTTTTCTTACTTGGTTTGAATTAGAACTTGCAATTATGACACAATTCTCCCCTGCCATTTCATCTGTGTGGTACCATCTGAATGCCTTCTGCTTGTCCTCTGTAACACCGTTTTCAGTCCCAGCGTCCATTCTGATACATCGTGGGACACCTACATGATACCTCAGATAAAGTGTTACCTATTATTATTGTTATTATTATTATTATAGGATATTTATATAACATATACCTACATTACTTGTTTCACGACTGTAATGATATATGAAACATGATATATGAAACACTTCATTGTGGGAATAAATAACTGGGCAACCTTTAATCTTGAACTCGTGATTTTATTGTTTGAGTTGACTATGCTGTGTAGTAGGTTCAAGCTGGTTAAAGAAGTAAGAAAACAACATTTAGTTACAATATCCAGCATAAAAACTTGCAAATAATGATATACAAACACATATTACATAATAGTCTGTGTAAGACCAATAAAACAATGATTTCATAGTGGCACGAAAATAGGTGACACACAACCATGTGCTCGTGCTCGTGCTCGTCATGTTGAAGTTTACAGAAAACACTTTACCATTAAAATTAATAATACCTGACAAAATTGCTTGAAAAGTGTTGCAATACTAAAAAGAAACAATGCTTACAAATTTTAGGCCCATTATCCTCCACAAAGGTAGGTGTACAAAGTAAAAAAGTAGAATGTTGTCTACCGCAGCAGACGTTCATCGTTCATAGCTCTCCATTCACAACCACGAGGTCACCGCAGCGATTAGAGTTATCTGCCCGAGAACTTCCGGCCTTGTTGAGGCAACAGATAATTGTGTGAAGCGCACGTAAAATCTTTATAAAAGATTAAAGCAAATAAATCTCTACACACCGGCCCCATAAATGTGTAGTTTTCCTTTATAACAAACATTTACCTCCAAAAACCTAAATATACTCTTAACCAAAGAATAATACTCGAATAAAATGACCTTAACAAATAAAAGAAATGTAATAACCAAACAACCTCACAGGTGCATACCATGATTGTATACAAAATATTATATACTGTGCTTATGAATGTTTCTCTTAAATGAACTTAAAGTTTATACTTTCAATGATATACTCCCCTACAGTTACAGTAGTCACACAATCACATTTACTGATTTGCTTTATGAAAAGTCACTCATTTGACATTTAGTCAGTCATAGTGTCACTGACTCCAGAAGGCACAGTTTATGGATGGGTCTGGTAAGGATTGTCCCCCTTGATCTCACAAGCACTGACCGCACCAGTCCGTCTCTACCTGGGAATGTCTTTTCCACACGGGCAAGTGGCCACAATTTTCTCGGTGTATTCTCATCCGTAATGAGAACAATATCATCCACACAGAGATTATATGTAGGCTTAACCACTTCTGTCTAAGCTGCAAGGTTGGAAGATATTCCCGGACCCAACGTTTCCTGAAAACGTCGGACAGGAATTGTACATGCCTCCATCGTTGTCTGTACACATCTTGAGGATGAAAGTCACCTGGAGGCATCAACTCGCCTTGCCGCAATAGAAGCAAGTGGTTAGGTGTGAGAGCTTCTGCATCCCGCACATTGTCCGATACAACAGTGATCGGTCTGCTATTGATTATTGCTTCAACCTCACAGAAGAGTGTATGAAGACACTCATCAGACAGTCCTTTTTCCCTGCATAACAGTCCATTCAACACTTTGCGCACAGTCCTTATCTGCCGCTCCCATACACCGCCCATATGGGATGCCGTAGGAGGGTTAAACTCCCACTGAATGTCTTTCCTAGTCAGAAAATCATCAACTTGTTTCAAGTTCCATGCTTGAATTGCCCCTTTGAGCTCTCTGCAAGCTCACTTGAAATTAGACCCGTTATCAGTCCTAATTTTTCTCTGGTTTGCCTCTGCGACTCACGAATCGCCGAAGTGCGTCGATGAAGGAGTCTGTACTCATTGAATCCAATTTCTCGATATGGACTGCTCTGGTAGTAAGACACGTAAAGATACAGCCATAACGTTTCACAATGCTTCTGGCCCTTTTTACCTCGAATGGCCCAAAACAGTCAATACCTACATAAGTGAATGGCGGTCGATGAGGCATAACTCGATCTGTAGGCAGTTGCGCCATTTGTTGAGCACCCTTAGCACTCTGCATTTTCCGACAATGAACACATTTCCTGAATATGGATTTGAGCATAACTCTGGCCCCGATTATCCAGAATCTTTGTCGCAGATATGATAAAACATGCTCAGTCCCAGAGTGGCCCAAGATATCATGGGCGTGATAGGCGATCAGTCGGCCGACATAATGATCTTTTGGCAAAATCATCTGATGTTTCGCCTGCTCGGTGATAAGAGCGTTGGATAGCCTGCCTCCAACACAGACAATTCCCTTGGAACTGATCATTGGCTCTAACTGGTGTATAGGACTTGATTTCTTAACTGTTCGACCTAGTTTCAGTTCTTGAATTTCAGATGTGAAGTGACGTTTCTGCAAATATTTCACAATTTCCTGTTCGGCAGTCCTCATTTCATCTACTGAAAGAGATTTTGTGGATATTTTATTGTCCTGTTTCTGTTTTGAACCTCTCACTTTCAGTAGAAGGCATTGTTTGAGTCTTAGAATCCAACAAACTATTTTCTTCACCTTGATCCAGGATGAATACCTCTTTAATAGCCTGTCTGTAGCATACTCCTCCATTCCAATGTCAGAAAAGAAAACCTTGCTTTTCCTTACTTCAAGTTCTGTCGGGTCAACATCAAACAGGTCGGGAGTTGCAGGCCATTTGCTTTCTTCCATCCACAGGAATTCTGGACCCTTATCCACTGTCCGCAGAGTTGACAATCTGACTTTATGCATGCCACGAGATGAGTAATCACCCGGTTCAGTTCAGATTTCACATATCGCCAGTCTGACGACGAAGTCGATTCCTGGATTGTACTTATTCTGTTGGCAACAAAGGTTTGAAACCGCAGTCTCGCTCTTAATGTAATGGAGTACAATCGTATTTATCCGTCCAAAAGGTAGAACTGATGATGTTCAGGTTTAATTCTTGTAGAAGTGTCTCATTCAGTTTTACTGATACAACCGCAGCGGACAGTTCAAGTCTCGGAATGGTGCTTTCTTTAATAGGTGGCAGTCTGGCCTTTCCCATCAAGAATGAACAATGAATTTCCGCATCTGTGTTTATTGCTCTGAGATAAGACACTGCTCCATAGCCGTTTAGTGATGCGTCAGAGAAGTGATGTAGCTCACACTTCACGATTTCGCCAAAGTCCGCAGGAAATAGACACCTGGGGATTCTCAATTTCTCAATTTCTTGGAGATCAAGGAGCCAGTCCATGAACTTTCGAACACTGTCCGGTTCAAGTGCGTCATCCCATTCTTTCTTCAATCTGCACTCATGCTGAAATAGTCTCTTAGCTTTCAACATGACTGGACACACAACTCCAAAGGGGTCATAAACAGAACTTATGATGCTAATAAGTCCTCTGCGTGTCATCGGTTTCCTTTTAGGTTTCACAATAAACCCAAATTCATATGTTTCAGTGTCCCAAACTACACCAAGTGTCGCTCTTGTGGGAGAATGTTGTTGCCAAGGTCAATATTCTTCAGCTCCTTTGCTCGCTTTTCAGTTGGAATGGATTCCACTACTGTCCGACTGTTACTAGTCCATTTAGTAATATTGAATCCACCTCGCTGGAGTAAATTGCTAGTTTCCTTTACAAGATGAATTGCTCTTTCGTCTGAAGTTGTTGACTTGAGGCAGTCGTCGATGTAGAAGTTGTCTAACACTGTTCTCACTGTCTCTTCATCAAAGTCTACTGTGTTGTCCTGAGCGGTGCGCTGGACAGCATAACTAGCACAACTGGGGCTCCATACCCCTCCAAAAATATGAACAGTCATCCGAAATATCTCTGGTTTGAGGGATAGGTTTCCTCCTGGCCACCAGAGGAATCTCAATACATCTCGATGTTTCTGTTCGACTTTGACCTGGTGAAACATCGCTTCGATATCCCCCATGATAGCAAATTGTCCCTCTCGGAAACGCTGAAGTACTCCGATTAGCTTATTAGTGAGATCCGGTCCTTGAAGTACTTCTTCGTTAAGGCTTGTCCCCAAGTACTTTGCTGAACAATCAAACACGATTCTCACTTTATCCGGCTTCTTGTCGCTTGTAACGGCATGATGCGGCAGATACCACACGGGTCTTTCAGTTGTAATTTCATCATCGTCAACCTTTTCTGCATAACCCTTTTCAAGTAACTCCTCGATGCCCTTTGAATAGTTGTCATGAAGGGTTTCATTTTTCTTCAACTTCCTTCCTAGGGATTCAAGTCTAGCTTCAGCAATGCAGTAGTTGTTCGGCATGTTCGGTTCTTCCATCTTGAATGGTATAGGCATGCTGTAATGCCCGTCAATAACTTGGAGCCATTATTCTTCCACAGGTTAGTATACATATTTGTCTTGTATGGACATTTGCTGACGGTTATCCATCTGCATGCCACAGGAATCCAATGTCCAAAGTCTTTCTAAACAAGTTGTAAGATCAGCTTGAATGTAGTTGGAGACTATTGTGCCCTGTTTGCCATATTCCAAAGGTCCGTTCAGGGTCCAGCCGAAAACGGTAAGCACGGCATACGGTTCGTTTATTTTCCCTCTTCTAATGTCAAGTGGTGCTATAGCTCCAGGATTGTCCTGTCCAATGAGTATAGAGATCTTTGACTCATTGACTTGTGGCAAATGTATGTCCTGCATGTGTGGCCAGTTGTCAACGTCTGTCTGTGACACTTTATTCCTTTCCGGAACTGGCATATTGGGAATAACATAAACATAGGGCAACTTCAATTGATTCCTTCCATCCAGATCCGCAATTTCAAGCGAGATACAGGTAGTTTCCAATGGACAGTCTTCATTTGTCAGAGTTATAAGAGACAAGGATGTCTTCGCTCCCTGCAGGCCGAGTTGGTCATATAATTCTTGGGAGCAGAAGGAATTCGTACTGCCACTGTCCAGGAAGGCATAGGTTGTTAAGCACTCTTCTCCGTTCTTCCGAACTGTAACGGGTACAACTGGTAATGCTACCCTACATATGCCGGCCCCATTGACATCACGATTTGAATGGTGAGTAGAGAAGGTCTGTGTTCCACGATGTTGTTGGTTTGAGTGTGAGTTCCCTCGTAACTGTTGGGTTCTCTTCGGTAGTTCACTTTCCACTAGCACGCCAGAATGCATCTTCCTGTATGTCTGCAAGGCATGATGTAACAGAGTTGAATGTCTCTTGTTGCATCTATCAATACGACACATGCTTTCCTTGGTACATTCATACGACACATGATTCTTAGCAAAGCAGTTAAAACATAATTTTTCTTCTTGCATGAATTTCAGTCTATCTTCAGAATTCATTTGTCTAAATGTGTTGCACATGTAAATGGCATGATCCCAAGAGCATAACTTGCAACTTGACTTCGTGTCTCTGTACTTCATGACAGTTTGTAAGGCTGTTCCCTTGCTATCGTGTCCTCTTGATGGTCTCTCTCTGTTGTCAAAGCGAATATTCCCGAAGACTGGGTCGTTAGCCTCATCGGCAACCATCTCAATGAATTGAGCAAATTCATGAATGTTTGGGTAATGTCTGTGTGTCCTGAGATGGCTGACTGCTTGATTTCTCCATCTGTTCTGTAGATGGACCGGGAGTTTTTCTGTCATCTTCCTTATCCTGTCTTGGTTGTCAACCTCTGTGAGTCTCCCCATGGCTGATAAAGTGACTATACAGCTCTTCACTGAGTCCGCATACTGACGCAAGGCTGCATTGTCTCCATTCCGCAGTACTGGTCTCTCAGTGACTCTTTGAATCCATGCACGCGAAATAACAAACTGGTTGCCGAATCGCTCCTGCAGAATTCTTCTTGCCTCCTTATAACCATAGTCTTGGTTCATGACGGCACAACACTCTATGACCGAAAGTGCTTTGCCACTGCAATACTGTAGGAGTCTTGTAAGTTTGGCAGTGTCACTTATTGAAGTTGATCCAATGCTATTGTCAAAGGAACGGACGAAAATCCAATACTTGAGTGGATCACCATCAAATTTAATCAGGTCTGCTCTAGGGAGATGAATCATGTTCAGAATCTCCTTGCTACTCTCAGACACTGGTGGCTGTGTAAGCTGCTGTTTACGCTCTCTCTCTGGTTTGATCGGGTGACTTGGAAGAGTATCTGATTTAAGCTGAAACTCTTCAGTCCTGGGGTTCAGCATGGATGTAGCTGGAAGAGGCCTCTTAACTGTACTCCCGTTATCACTCAAAGCGCTGGTCTCTGCCTCAGCAGCGGCGATCTCTGTTTCTAACTTAAGGGCTTCCTCTTGCAGTTGCAGTTCCATCACCTGACGCTTCAATGACTGTTGTTTCTTTAGAGCCTCGGCTCTCACACGAAGCGCTGCTGCCCTAGCTTCGGCCACCTTCACATGTGATGCTACCGACTTCATGCTGACCTGACTTGCAGAATCTTCGGGTTTAATCTCCTGACTGTCTTTGACCATAAAAACCCTAATTTCTGCTGCTAATTTACTATATCTATCCTTGAGGGCATTATCATATTCATCAACTTGCTTGAATTCCACTGGATCATGGACAACTAATTCCTTCAACTGCATAGACTTCACAACAATTCTGTCTAATGTTTCTTTCATAAGTTCTAGTTCTTCTGCAAGAGAAACTGCACTTGGGTTGCCCTCCTGTATCATCAGTCTTATTCCCTTCTCTATTTTACTAAAGTATGACACAATTCCTCCTCTCTCCTTTTGGAGCTTGGATATTATTTCAATTTTTTGCATGTCTTCAGTGTCTTGTAAAGTTTCTTTATCTGTACATCCACTTATGACAGACATATTTGTTGATTAAAGTTGTAAATTTCTTGAACTTTTTGTGGGAATAAATAACTGGGCGACCTTTAATCTTGAACTCGTGATTTTATTGTTTGAGTTGACTATGCTGTGTAGTAGGTTCAAGCTGGTTAAAGAAGTAAGAAAACAACATTTAGTTACAATATCCAGCATAAAACCTTGCAAATAATGATATACAAACACATATTACATAATAGTCTGTGTAAGACCAATAAAACAATGATTTCATAGTGGCACGAAAATAGGTGACACACAACCATGTGCTCGTGCTCGTGCTCGTCATGTTGAAGTTTACAGAAAACACTTTACCATTAAAATTAATAATACCTGACAAAATTGCTTGAAAAGTGTTGCAATACTAAAAAAGAAACAATGCTTACAAATTTTAGGACCATTATCCTCCACAAAGGTAGGTGTACAAAGTAAAAAGTAGAATGTTGTCTACCGCAGCAGACGTTCATCGTTCACAGCTCTCCGTTCACAACCACGAGGTCACCGCAGCGATTAGAGTTATCTGCCCGAGAACTTCCGACCTTGTTGAGGCAACAGATAATTGCGTGAAGCGCACGTAAAATCTTTATAAAAGATTAAAGCAAATAAATCTCTACATTCATCACGATATGATGAAGTATAGTATGACCAGAAATTATTGATATTATTAATATGTTTACTTGGATTTCTAGTATAAAGAACCTTGACCAGCTATCAAGTGCTTGGCTTCATTCAAGAGAGACAACGCCTTTAATCCTTTTTCATTAGTTTGTGAAGAGTTACCCCCCCCTTTGTTTACTTGCTAGAAGACTACATTATCAGTGATCCTCAGTATGGATGATTTAGAGGAGAGGAAGTTGATTTTAGAGTATTATAACAAGGGCATCAGATCAGCTAAAGTGATTTCAAGTAGAACAGGCATCCCTTTGCCCACTTTTTATCGTGTTTTGAACAATATTGCAAATGGATATGGCATTGAGCACCAAGGAGGCGCAGGTAGGCCCAGAAAATTGACTGTTGGTGACAGGAAGCGGCTTGGTATTCTTGTGTCTACAAATATACGAAAGGAGTTTAGAAAACTTAAGGCTGATTGATATGATTGATAGAGGAACTGTGGCTGTGTGTAAGGAGACAATTAGAACTGAGCTGCATGCAATGGGTTGGCAGAAAAGTCGAGGAATTCCATCACCAATCACGAAACCTGAACCTTAACAAAAGGAGCGAACAAAAGGAAACTGGGACAATGTGATTTTCTCAGATGAAAGTTCTGTGTGGCTGTTTCCTAATACACTGAAATTCTGGACCAAACAAACTGAAAAACCTTTGTATCAGCGCCCAAAGTAGAGTCCGAAATTTAACGTGTGGAGTGGCATATCTGTGTTAGGGGCAACGTCCCTCTGTGTATTTGAAAGGAATATGAACAGTGAGCGGTACCCAGATAAGATATTCTCGAGGGACATTTATTTCCATCTGCTCACGTGTTCTATGGAAATGTTTGGATTTTCCAGCAGGACAACGACCCAAAACATCGTTCAAAGCATTCACAGGCCTGGTTTCGGACCCAAAATATGACATTATTAGATTGACCAAGCTATAGCCCTGACCTAAATCCAATAGAAAATGTTTGGAGACTTAAGAAGGAAAGTGTCAATAAGAAAAATCTGACAAATATTGCTGAAATGAAAGAAGAGGTGGTCCGATATTGGGACAGCTTCTTTGATCAGTAGTATGCCCCGCCGCATTGAAGTTTTGCTGCCCATGGTGACTTGACAAAGTACTAACTGTTCACCTGTCTTTGAATCTGGAGTTATGTTCTGCTAAAATTCACATTTAATACGTGAGTAATGAGTGAAAAGAAATATAAAAAATTACAATCTTTAAATACTCAATAATTTCTGGTTGTACTGTAACTAACTATTCTATAACAAATGATTTATGTGATCTGACCTTTATGTGATCTTGACATGAGTACAAGCCAGATGACGAATCACATCTTGACATACAGATACTCTGATACAGACACGTGAAACAGGATTGTAACGCCTGAAAATGTTCCACTTCATCAATAACACATCATAAAGTAAGAAACTTTGCTAATGTTTTGGTGACATGTACCTTAAAGGGAAACATATACATTGACAATGTAAATAAAGACAGCCCTTGAATGTTCCCATATATTCTGAACAAATACTGATGCTTATAAAGAATACTTACCTTTCACCGTTTCAATATAATTCAGAAAGTAAGAGGCAACAACGTATGGATTGTTGTCCGTGTTAGGCACTTCCAGCCACAATATTCTCCTGGAGAATCTGAAAAAAGCTCAACGAATAAAATACTGACAATATATATATAGCGTGTGTGTGTCTGTGTGTGTGTGTGTGTGTGTTGTGTGTGTCTGTCTCTGTCTCTCTCTCTGTCTCTCTGTGTGTGTGTGAGAGAGAGAGAGAGAGAGAGAGAGAGAGAGAGAGAGAGAGAGAGAGAGATTATTCTTTTGCGTGCGGCTTGCGGTTTAGGAAATGACTATTGGAGTATTCTCAAAACGACAACTACATGACATTGATCTCCAATGGATCTACTCTTCTAAAATGGACTTGAATAGAAAGCATTGATTTAGGTAACACAGTTTCTTTACCCGCATATGACTCCGTGAATTGCAAAACCAAATGGTTTTAATTTATCATAGCCGTCGATATGGACGAGATAATTGGGTCCTTTGTTAGTGTAGACACGCCTTGATAGTCGATGGCGAGATCTCATCTCCACACCTTCTGGGTCTAACTCACGCTGAAGCTGTAGGATTGTATCTCTGAAAGTTTATTTAAAGATTTAAGGTTTGGGAGAAAGTTATGTTAAATAAAAGAACAAAATCCATCTGATGTATAATATAACCAACACATCTTTACCGCCTCCGTGATGTAGGAGGGTGAACGGTAGAGGGTTTGATACCCTGGCCGTGCATAAGCGCTTTTGTTCTAAAAAAGCTAAAAGTGCGGGCACGTGATACGCAAATTAGCTTGGAGCAGTGGTGTAATGCTAAGCATGCATAGCACTTGAGTGTTGGGAGAAAGATAACCTTGGTACGCGCAATACCAAACACCGTTGAGACTAAGACAAGGGAGATACAGCTCTTGACAGATTGGACCCTTTCTTTTGACGAGACCTCGGGAAGGATGTTGACTATTTTATATCTGTTTCTTTTGATTACGACTCCCAACCAGAATGGCTAAGAGGCCTTTCGCAAGTGTCCATACCTCGTGACTAAGGGCATATAACTACAACATATTCAATTTAACCGAAATAATTTGATAATGGTCCCGTCATATTTGGCAAGTTCAGCAGCTTTATATGCCCCAAACAATTTGTTCTCCGGCTTTGTTGACTGGTAGCCAAACTGGATTCCAAGTTTACAAGTTTATTTTCTACAGTTTTCTGGTAATGGGTCAAGAAATCGACCAGCAAAACAGTATTTTCACGATTTGTGTGGCGGCCATATTATTCCACTTATGGTGAATCTTAAAGTCAGATTACTTTGGATTATCCATAACTTAGGAATAGAAAGGGACGGTGGGGTAGCCTAGTGGTGAAAGCGTCCGCTCGTCACGCCGAAGACCCAAGTTCGAATCCCCTACCTGGGTACAATGTGTGAAGCCCATGTGTCCCTCGCCGTGATATTGCACGAATATTGCTAAAAGCGGCGTAAAGCCAAACTCACTCACTCACTCACTCTCTCACTAACTCGGAATAGGAAACTCTTCTTCGACATTACTTTAATTTCGAACCTTTCAATATTTTTCATACATATTATTTCAGTACTTTAGCACTGCACCCATGTGGAGAAGTCAACACGGGCCATCAGCGAACGCCTTAACCACTAAGCTACCTACACCCCAAATACAATATAAAGTAACATTAGGATTTCATACACAAGATATATTCGCCAAATATCAAGTCAGTATACAACACTAGTTGATCGAGGTGAAAGGTTTTTGATGCACTAATGAAATGAAAATAATGACCCAGTCTAAATGCCTTTCATTTTTGCGGTTGACCCTCTTCATGTGTTGTACAGTTTCTTCACAAACCTCCCCGAAAAGACCAATGCAAAAGCACATGATATTTTCTTATAAAACATCCATTTTTTCATAACCCTCCTAGAGAGTGCCATATTCACTTATTCCTATAAAGACATTTATGCTATGATTTTGTAATATAAATTCATGGTGATTATCAATAATACCTTTGTGATGCAGTTTTGTGGAAAGTGTTTTGCATAGATTTAAATATTAGTATAAACAAAATGAGGCAGGTTAACTGGTTTCATTATCTATCTCAAGTTCATGTGGGAAAATCAGTGGAAGGGACATGATCGTTATTAAACGATATCGATATCTGGTAGTTGATGTACCTGAGATTTATGTTTAGCTTCTTGTGCAATATCAAGGTATTCCAAATTCAAGTTTTAACATTTTGCTGCATACCTTGGTACTGATAGGCCATACGACGACTGCAGCCGCGACCGCATTGACCTACATCCGAGATAGGCACCACTGCCATTTAGTTCTTCCTGCAACGATGAAAAAGTAACTGTAAAACGGTGTACTTGATGTGACAGCACTGATAAAAAATATTGTTTCTTAATTAGTTCAGTTTTATAATATTTCAAATAGAAACTTGAATGCGGATCTCTCATGGACACATTTACCGGTGTCTTACTGATTTCAGGACCGTTAACACGACTGCGTGCGACCTTTATACCATGTTTCATTCACATTGTGAAAACAGATGATATAGTATCATAATGTAAAGAAATAATTATGCAATGTATGAATAGAATCTTGGCGGTACATGTACCTGTACTGCTCGCCGGACCACTTGGATATTTGAAGCACCACGACGACGTAAATTCATTCTTCTTAACAGTCGCTTCAGTTGACGAATACTGTGAGGAATGATACTTATTTTTCATAACTGTCATTTACTTACAATATGCAACAATGCAATCAGTAACTGTTTACAACATGACATAAAATACCATAAACACAATTTATGTGATGATATGTAAAAACAACGAATGAAAATATACCTCAATTGTAGATGAAATATGAACAAGGAAAAGTGATGGTTCAATTTGGTTGATACCAATATTGAAACACTCACTAATATTAATACATAACTGTTTGTTACTACAGATATGCACAAAAATATCAAAGGGAATGTAACACAACATATGTAATAACTTATGTAACATTTATGAATACCATTGCTATTTAAATATTCATGATATGTTTATATGCAGATATTTCTGCTTACACTTTATATTATTAACTCGATGACATTCATAAGGAATACGAACCCGATGGAGAAACTGTGTCTTACATCTAGAAAAACTATGCGTATCTTTTCATAGCTCAATCCATTGAAAAAGTATTGACGAATTAAATCATCTCCTGAAAGCCGTTAAGTGAAGCAGACTGCGAGAGAAGAAAACATAAGACGAGTTATACTGGTTAAGTATACCATGATATCATGGACTTACCAGATGATTTGAAGCGAATCAGTAAAGCGTCACACGTTTTGAAAACTAGATTTATTTATATTTTCATGGTTATATTCCATAAAAACATATTTTATGATAATAACATATACTGGAATAAAAGATGGTTTTACCTCAGTTGTGTCGCATCTACCGACTATAAAGTTCTAAGGCTTAACATGTCTGCTTTATCTTCACTGCGGCTGATTGTGCATGAGAAAAAGGATACTACTTGTAGGTGGAGCTCCACGTGAACCCAAAGTAGCCATTTGCAGCAACCTACGTGAACAGAGCATGATACAGAGATAGAACATAAATAACGTCTAATGTTATATGCGTGAAAGCACAAATGTAAACCAAAAGCCACTGCGTTCTTTAATGTGGTTGGTTGAAAAACATGATCAAATGGTACTAGTATTCGATTCCCGGAAATTGCAAGACTATTCGCTGCGTATAATAGTACAAATATAGCGCACAATAATTATTATTGTATTGTAGCGTAGTAAGCAATGATGGGGTGATTAAAATCATATTGTGACGTTAAGTCGGAATGACGTCACAAATGAGCAGTTCAAGACGCTACCATGGGAACCAGCTGAAACGGCCAGCTGAGGACACTTCACTGTACCGTACTCGATGTGCCATGTGGGCCTTTTGGTTTACTTTTGTGTTTACAATGTTGATAATTCTAAGATGACTCGGTGAAAAATCAAAGGCGTCGACAGTACTTAATAAGACGATAATGTGCACTGTTTTCATTACGTCACAATGTATTGGCGTCACTGCGCAATTCTAGTACTCGTATGCCCCCTCGTAATAGAACACTTCTGCATAACATCACAATGTAACCGACGTCACGATGCAGGTGAGTTGTCATCGCCTCGTACAGCCTCCTACATAAAAACTACTCCTTTGCATTCCGTTTCTAGGTTTGCAGTTGCTTCACTCAGCTAACTTCACTGGTGGAAACATTACAGGGCCCCTCACTCCTGGTATTCCAGGAGGGACAGATGTAGGACAGAGCCCCTCACTCCGACAGATAACATGTGTCAGTTACAGGGATACGGAAACGTTCTCAATGTTTACATTCCCCACATGCAATCGTGGAATGTCAGCAAGCGTCCTTGTGCTTTAATCATAATAGTTCAGGGCGAAAGTGTGCTTTATTACACTATACATGGTGGTAGAAAGCGTCCTCGTGCGGGTTTATTATAATTGTTCACGGGGGTATCATTTGGAACCCACGGAGATAGAGATGGTTCTTTGTTCAGTTTTGTTGCAAGATCAATGGGTGCAGCAATGCCATGTGACGTGAGCCTAGCAACAGGTTTGCTATAGTCATGAGCTATTCCCAGTGGGCCCATGAAGGTCCGGGTTAGAATGAGCCTTCAGTAACCCATGCTTGTAGTAAGAGGCGACTAACGGGATTGGGTGGTCAGACTCGCTGGCTTGGTTGACATATGTCATCGGTTCCCAATTGCACAGATCAATGCCCATGCTGTTGATCAATGGATTGTCTTGTACAGACTCGATTATTTACACACCGCCGCCATATGGCTGGAATATTGCTGAGTGCTAAACTAAACTCACTCACCCAATCACTGCATGTAAATGCAATTAATCCTTTTCAATATACTGTCAATAAATACGTTTTGTGTTGCGACAAATAGAGATTAAGTAAAATGAAAAGCAGATCCCGGTATGTACATAGTAGCACATGTGCTGACAGGGCTCCTTGGGATACAGAAAACGTCCCAAGTAACCTATGCTGGTGGTAATAGGCGACTAAAGGGATCGGGTGGTCTGGCTAGGTTTTTTTGTTGAAGGCTTGAAAAGATTTTTTCATATCTGAGAAAGAACGATGACAACACATACCTTATGAAAAGGATTTTGTGCGCCGCTATGGTTAAAGACAAAAAGGACATGCTCCGTGGTGAACTGCCAGAGCAGCCGCCCGAAGAACGGAAGGGTTTGATCCCCGACCAACGTCATACCAAAAGATGTTAAAAAAGAGATGGTCGTTTTACCTTGTACAAACGTTCAGTGCGCTCAGATAGGCTCTACCGTCTGTCAATTCCTCACCACAACTTCACAAGCTTTGGTGATAAGTCGTTCTGTTTACATGCCCCAAGACTCTGGAGTGAGTGAGTGAGTTAAGATTTTAAGTCGCATGGGCAATATTACAGCCATATCGTGACTAAATCAAGTTATAAATATATTAACAATTGAAGGTAAAGTATAAAATTCTGTCAGCGAAGGACAGTAAAACAACTAGATTATATCACAAATATAAATATAAAACTAGTAATCAAATCTAAAATAGTTTAACTATACATGACAATACAATATAAAAACAGGCTATAGATTCCCAACAACTGAAGGTAGATCACCATACTAGGGACCATACTAATCTTGCCAATCACATTGCTGTCAAAAGGGACAAAAAAATTCAATGATATAAATAAATTCATTGGCTTTATCAAACAGAACAAGATCAAGTTTGTTAGCTGGAATTCTTCTGAGGCTGTATATGGGCCTATTGCACAGAAGTTTGAAGCATCATTTTCCATGACGCCCTGGACATGTTCAGGGTCGTACCATAGATGAACCTAGGAGTCAAAGCCACAGACATGGCGGAGACGGTAGTAAAAGCAACGAGCCATGCCATCATGTGTTTTAAGATATGCTGTTTGTGCCAAAGAAGGGCATCCACTGACAAGGCGTTGGACAGTGTCAATAAATTCATTGCACAGTCGGCATTTCATGTTAATATTTTCTTTAAGAATCACATTTTGGCGATTGCGAGTGGGAAGTGATTGGTCCTGAGCAGCAAAAGAAAGCCCTCAGTTTCACATTTAAGACCAGCTGACTTCACACAGGCGAAGGAGTCGGTGGAATTGCTATTCTGTTCCACACACTGCATGTACACACGATGCAATGGCTTCTCAGAAAGCCTCCCCACAAAAGACCGACTCTAGACAGACTTGGTGGAGGACTTCACCTGGTTTACTCCCATAGCTGTACCGTCCAGCAGGACATCGCCATCAACAAAATCAACATCAAATTTTGGATTCTGTCCAACAACCTTGGCACGCTTTATTACTATTATTATTATTATCCTGCCTGGCGCTCGACATTATGGCTATAAAACAAGGACTGGTGGGCTCAGATTCAGTATACTATGTCTGAGTGTGATATTCATATTAAACCTGCGGCATGGTATCTCAGTGAGCTAGCACTATAAAATAATATTAAATAGGCAATAGACCGGACTAGTACCAGCAGGAACACACGTGCCTGGACGTAACTATAGAAGTGCAATTATCCTGTACGCGACGTTCAATCCCTTTTCACCTACAGACAAACCGTTGTTTATGGTGTTGTGGCATAGGATGTTAAAGTACTGTCGGAAATGCTAGAAAAATGCTTTTTGACTTATATTTAAAATTCAGAGGTATTACAGTTACTTAAATAAGAAATATCACTTCAAGAAACATCTACCTAATGTAGACCGAGGGAATAAATTTTGAGACATGCTCTATGTGTTTTTACTGATGAAAATACCCAAAACTTAGAAAAATAAGGGGTAGTGTGGCGTTATTTGATACAAACATTAATTGCCTGTGATACGTCATCAGCATCCACGGTATCGACAGGTGAAATTGACACCTGAGCACACGCTCGTGCGAGGGGTCATCTCAATAGATGTTTTCTGCAAAATGTTGAATATGTGTACGTATAGTATACGTATCGGTTATGTAAGGGATCATTTGTGTATGTGTGTTTGTTTTGAAATAAACATACGAATTACTGTACATTGGAAAGAATCCTATCACTTGTGTGATCTTATCGACTGATTGTAGACATGTGCAACGTTTTTAATAAATGTTTTGCATGTCAACAGTATATTTCATTGAAAAATATGGATGTAACTCGGTCAGTTTAATCTAGTTGTGAACATTGGCCAAAGATTTAACGAAGTCACTGGTGTAGCTTCTTTAGAATATATATATATATTTCTTCTCATAAAGTTTGTAGACCGCCCGTCTAAGCACTCCTTGTCAAAGTTGTCAAGGATGGTTTCACGTCCCAGTTTTGCATTTGAGACGGTCCCTGTCTTGTCTGATTTGTTTACAATATTGTAAACTTGTTGGTAAGACATGCCAACAGCTCTACAAGTTCTGTAATAAACCCTTTCTAAACTAATGAAAGGTTTACCTCTGTCTTTTTTAAGCAGAAAAAACTATAAACCTTTGCAACAATCGACTGCAAATCGTTGGCCATAGTGCACGCTGTGATAAAGATGTGCATGCATGACGGGAAACTTATTTATCAAGACTTAACATTTATATTAATATTTCTTCAATAAAGAAACGATAATTAAGTAAAGTAACACAAACATTCAACATTTATTTGTTTAGGAAAAACGTTAAATTCATATTTTTACACCACCTGTATTATTAGCATAAATGTAAAGACTATTTCAGATTTCTGTTGTTGAACTCTGAAAAAATCTTAAGTTGCTGTTTTGGTACCAAATTCTCTCCTGTAAACTGCCCTTTAAATGCATGGGAATGTTAAATCGATTAAAATAACAATTAGGTAGACAATAGGCGAGTTGATATATTGACAACATAGTTCATTTATCACCTTTATAAAGATATTAAGGCTAAAAAGCATTTTTCTAGCATTTCCGACAGTACTTTAGTAACAATACCTCTGACGTTCAGGCGAATGGATTATGTAAAGCCGCCTACAGTTGGACATGTGCTAAATGTAGAGCTAGAAACAAGATACCTACTGTAAGTGTTCCACTAGTGAATTTTCCACCAGTTCAGATGTATGTCTTC